GGGCCGCTGAGCTGGGACTCTGTGGCTCCGGGCGCGCGGCAGCCATCTTGTGCCCAGGCCCCGCCCCCGAGGCGAGTGGTGGCTTCTGGAGGGGGTGGGGCCCGGGCTGGCGTCAGAGTCGCCACGCAGGCGCACTGGAGGGAGGGGCGGGGCTTTCAGGGAGCCGGGTCTTCCCCTCCTCCGGGAGAAAGCGACGAATTTTTTCGCACTTACCTGTCAATCCCCGCAGGAGATAGCCCGCGTGGGGCGCTGGCTGGCTGCGAACTAATTCGAATTTCTTTCTAACCTATATGAGTAGGCTCTGGCAGTCAGTTGACCCTCATCAGAATTTAATAACCTTTGTTCTGTTTTCATGCTGCACGTTTTTGTGGGCACGTCCTCTGCATGGCTGGTGATAACGTAGCGAGGTAAAGTTCATAAACGTAAGGATTTTTAAGTCCGTTTGCAGAAAGATATTCTGCAAACAGCAACACTGGTGGTACTGGGGTTTATTAGCAAAAATCCGCAGGTTGTGTGACATTTGGGAAACGCTCCTTTGGAGAAAAGAGCCCAGAAGACAGGGGTTTCCGGCAGCACCAAGGACAGGGCTGAAGTCTTAGCCGACGGCTTTTTCCTTCCATGGCCTGGCTGTGTGGCCTTAGAGAGATCACTACACTCCTCTGGATCGTGCCTGCATTTTCCCATGTATAAAAGTGTAGACGTTGTAAGACCCAATAAGAAAGAGATATGTAAGACCTTTGGAACAACCTTAAATTGTTTTCTTGGAAGGGTAGGCGATGACTAAACATGATGATCAGTCCTAAGTTCTTTGTTTCTCCTCCTTACGGGAACATGATAAGATGTCTTTCCTCTGCAGTTAGACCATGGGTGTTTCTTTGCCAGTGAAATATAAGTGGAAGCGACGTGTGTCAACTTCAGCACGTCGTAAGAGCCAGCAAACTGTTTACCACTTTCCATTCCTGCTGTTCGCGCTAGGGAATCTGTTGGGTGAAGTGAAGTTTCTATCAGCCCGAGTTCCAGAGTATCTACAATGAACAGAACTTGGTGCTGATCTTCCTTGCATATATAGCATTTAAACTAAATGTTTCCTGTGTTAAGCCACTGAGCTTTGGGGTTGTTTGTTACTGCAGCAGAACCTATTCTATCTTGACTGATAAGCATAGAGTGTCTTTCTTTAATCTTATTATACACCATTTCTGTGTACAAAAAGTATTCAGAATCATATAAACATCTCCCTGTGCTCACTAACAGTCTATACAACTTTACCTATGCAACCTAAGCCCTCTGTGTTTCCCTATCCATTCGCCCCTCTCTCTCCCCTGACGTTGTTAGATTTCGCATTTTCTGTTTATCATCCCCACACACGTCTTTCTTATTTTTTACACGTATGAAGTGATGTGATATTGTTCTGCATATGTTAACATGTTTACATAAATTATATCATTTCAGTGTAGCCTTCTCTAACCCCCTCGGCATTCGTATTTCTATTTGTAAACATTGATACCTGTAAGTCTTGTCACTCATTGTCAATGCTGGTGTGATATCCCAATTATGATGATGCCACATTACATTTATTTATTCTCCTGTTGATGGTCATTGGGTTGGTTCCAAGTATTTTTCCATTTTATAGTTGTTTAAATACTGTGTTAGTTTCAGGTGTACATACCCTCTCCAGCATTTATTATTTGTAGACTCTCTGATGACAGCCATTCTGACTGATGTGAGGTGATACCTCATAGTAACTAATTTTTTAAATTATTTCAAACAATACTACCATGAACAATCTTCCTTACATCTCCTCAAAGCCACATGGGAGTTTTTGCTAAGTTATATAACTGCGAGTTGAGTTGCTGGATCAAAGAACATAAGCATCTCCAACCTTCTTCTTCAGTTTGGTAAATATCGCCCAACTGCTCTTCATAATAGTACCACCATCTACTGGCTGATAACTCTTGGGTAAGTTCTTTACCACTCACTGTCTCCAGTGCTTTCATGGGCCGTGGCGTTTGTGCCTTTGTTGGTCCTTTCATTCCAAAAGGTATATTTAGCAGGGAGAGTATAGCTCAGTGGTGGACGTATGCCTGGTATGCACAGTGTGCTGGATTCAATCCCTGGTACCTCCATTAAAAAAATAAATAACCGAATTACCACCCCCCAAATAAATTTAAAAACTATGACATTATTTAAAAAGAAACAAATCCCCCCAAAAGTATCTTTAAAATTGTACTTTATGACTGTGTTGGTATAAAGACAAAGAGAGCCAGCTGGATTACATTATTTTCTTCTTTTTTATTGAAGTATAGTTGGTTTACAATGTTGTGTTAATTTCTGGTGTACAGCAAAGTGATTCAGTTACGTGTATATATATATATATATATATACACACGCACACACACATTGCTTTTCATATTCTTTTTCATTATAGGCTATTATAAGGTATTGAATACAGTTCCCTATGCTGTACATAAGATCCCTTTTTTCTGATTTCAAAATTTAAAATTTTTTTCATTGTCCCCTAAAAGTGGCCTCAGGCACTGTCTGTGCTTGCTGTGTCTAATAGAAAGTTAGCCTTCTCTGTCTGTTTCCTCATTTACAAAACAAAAATTATACTAGTACTTATTTGTGGGAGGGAGGGCATAGCTCAAGAGGTAGAGCTCATGCTTAGCATACATACACAAGGTCCTGGGTTCAATCCCCAGTACCTCCCCTGAAAACAAACAAATAAGTTAGCCTAATTACCTCCCCTCAAGTTAAAATAAGTAAATAAGTTAGTTTAAAAATAGTACTTATTTAACTCAGCTTCATGTTAGGTGCTGTGAGGGTTAATGAGTCATTATCTGTGAAGTGTTTTATGACACAAAGTAGCACTGTGCATTAGCTGTAATTGTTACTGATTTACACTCCCACCACCAATGGATGGGCACTCCTGTCGCTAGACAGCCTTCAGAATATTTGTCAGACTTAAAATTTTGCCAGTCTGATTTGTATGAAATGGTGTTCTACTGAAACTCCTTTTATTAAATGAGACAAAACCCTCACAGCATGGAGTCCAGCACACAGAACTTATCCTCTGTCCCCCCTTTTTAAAATTAACTATTTTAATTTTTATTATTTATTTATTTATTCATTCTTGGGAGTGGTAGGTAATCAGGTTTATTTTTAAATTTTTCTTGGGGGTGTAGGTAATCAGGTTTATTTATTTATTTCTTTAATGGAAGTACTGGGGATTGAACCCAGGACCTCGGGCATGCTAGGTACGTGCTCTACCAATGAGCTACACCCTTTCCTTGTCTCCCCTTTTTTTGAGGGAAGCATCAATTACATCTCTACACCCACAGAGAGGAGGCATGTAGATGCCTCACTGAATGGTTGGTGAATGACTGAACAAATGAATAAGTGAATCAATGAATTAATGGAGATAGAAGATTGAGATTTTTGAGAATATTAATATTGAAATATTAAATATTTGAAGAGGAGGGCACAGTTCAATGGAATGACACTAAGGTGTCAAATCAGATGAACCCAGATCCAGAGCCATCCGTCCACCTGCTCTGCAGCTTCTGAGTGTCCGGCTGTCCTTTCTCGGTGTCCGGCTGTCGTCAGCACACCAGGCACCATGGCGCTACTTGGTGAGGCTGTAGTGAGCATGCCCAGCTTGAGAGCACTGTGGGTCTAGCATAATTCCTGGAACTAACTGGTGCTCAACAGACGTGAACTCCTAGCCTTTTCCCTTCTTGTCTGTTTTCCTCAGGGGCTGGCACTCCACTGACTGTCCATCACATGATCTGAGGCTAGAATTCTGGCTAGATGGAACCACTAGAAAATGGCAGTAAGGGTCCTGCACTTTAAATCAGAAGACAGCATTCCCATATGACCCAGCAATTCCACCCCTAGATATGTGTCCAAGAGATAGATGTCCACACAAAACCTTGTAAACTGATGCTTTTAGCAGCATTGTTCATAATAGTCAAATAGTGGAAACAGATGAAAATGTCATCGATTGATGAATGGATAAAGAAAATGTAGTATAGTTCCATACAATGGAATATTATTTGGCCATAAAAATGAATGGAGTATTGATACATTCTTCAATATGGATGAACTTTGAAAATACATGTTAAGTGGAAGAAGTCCCTCCTCCCTGCCCTCTCCGCACTGATCACCATGAGTGTGTTTTTTGTATCACTGAGTCTGTTTCTGTTTTGCTACATACATTCATTTTATTTTTTAGATTCCACATAGAAGTGATATCATACAGTGTTTGTCTTTCTCTGACTTATTTCACTAAGCATCATATTCTTATGTGTCCATCCATGTTTCTGAAAATGGCAGAATTTCATTTCTTTAATGGCTGAGTAGTATTCTAATGTATGTATGTGTATGTACATCTTTGTTATCTTTTTGTCTATTGATGGACAATCGGGTTGCCTCCTATCTTGACTATTGTAAATAGTGCTGTCATAAGCAATGGGGTGCATGTATCTTTTTGAATTAGAGTTTTTGTTTTTTCTGGGTATATATCCAGGAGTGAAATTGCTGGACTATATGGTAGTTCTATTTTTAGTTTTTTGAGGAACCTCCGTCCTGTTTTCCATAGTGGCTGCACCAATTTATATTCCCACCAACAATGTAGGAGGATTCTCTTTTCTCCACCATGATTACCATCCTCACTATTTGTTATATGTAGATTTTTTTTGGTGATAGACATTCTGACAGATGTGTAGTGATATCTTATTGTAGTTCTGATTCACATTTCTCTAATAATTAGTGATATTGTGCAACTTCTTATGTGGGGTTGCGAAGCTTGTACAACTCATAAAAAGAATACAAAATTTAAAATACAAAAAAAAGGTATACAAGGGAACACTTATTTAGCATAGAAAATAAATTCCAACCAATTACAGACTTAGAAGATGACAATTACCATGCACGACCCCCAAATTTAAAAGCGTATATGGTATAGTATTTTAATTGGTTGACTACCTGACTCCGCCCTGTAATACTTGAACTCTGTTTTCTTTGATTGCCTCTTTATATGACAACAACTTTGTAATATCATTTTCTATAGAGAGAATAGAAAGATTACCTAATCTCTCCTATCACGTGATTGATCAAAACTTTTTTACTATTAACTTAAAGTTTCACTTCAGGTTTACAATTTTTTCAGTATTGTTGTCAAGTTTGGGGAAATTCGGATCAAGTTTCTTTCACCTATGAATTTAAAGTTACAAGGCATTGCGAGTTGTTTTTGAGCAGTGACTATCTGAAGCACTCTTTGAATTGTGGACACTCTGGGAAGAGCTTGTGCAAGTGCGGAGGCTCTTAAGCATCATTAGTTTCGTGGTAAATCCACCTCTGCAGTTTTGCTTAACTACTTTGAAAGGAAAAAATTAGATCTGTTTTGCTTTGTGTGAAGAATCCTTGCAGATGGGGCTGGGAATCGGACTGGAACCTGACTGTGAAGGCCCTGCCCGCCTCTTTTAGGAGCTCTTCTGTTACTATCTACCTACACCTATTTTAAAACAGAAAAACACTGAGGTTCCGGGAACTGGGAATCAGGGGACCCTGGCTGGAGTGCCATTTGGTTCCTGGTTGACTCGTTTTGAGCGTGTTCCTTCCCCATTCTTGGCCTCATTTTCCCTGGTCTGTGATATGAGGTGGGCATCTCCTGATTTCCTTGTCTGTCTCTGACGCTGTCAGAATAAAAATGGAACGAGAGACAGGAAACTCCTACAGAGAGAGTGATCCTCTTGGGATCCCACGTTATCAGAGGGGGCCCAAACGCAGAGCGGATCCTTCCTCTCTGTGCCGCGTGTTTCCAGTCGGAAATATTTTCGCAAAGGACCTAAACGCGCAGCTGCTGCTCAGGGTCCCTCCTTACAGGTCCGGGGTCCCTCCTTTCCCGGGCTTTCCGTAAAAGCACTTCCCCGGGGGCCGCCGTTTGCGCTCGGCCTGGCCAGAGAGGCCGCTCGGGGAACGGATCTCATTGGGCGCGGGAGGCTGATGGCCAAGACTGAGGCGTTTAGAGAAGGAGCTGAGAAGTTGAGAACGAGAGACGAGGGCGTACCATAGAGGAGCTGGCGGCGGATAGAGGGGCCATGGTGGGCGGGGAAAACGAAGGGAGGTTGGGGAGCGGAAGTGGCCTCCGAAGGCGGGAACTGAAGACCTAACAGAAAGGGCTCGGGTCGAGGGACGGGGGTTTTGGAATTGGGGGTGTCAGGTCCAGTTTCCCCACATCCTCATTAAAGTCTGGTGTCTTTGGGTTCGCTGTACAGCCGTTTCCTTCAGGTCCTGCAGCACCTCCTGCCTGGACTCAAGGCCTTAGTACATGCGAGGTCTGGAAGCACGCACTTCACCATCGAGCTTCCTTTTCTCACCCTTTATATCATGCCTGCTTCTCTGATTCCTTTTTTTTTTTTTATGGAGGGGGGAGTAATTAGGTTTATTTTATTATTTTTATTTTTTATTTAATGGAGGCACTGGAGATCGAACCCACGACCTTGTGAAAGCTAAGCATGTGCTCTACCGCCGAGCTATCTTCCCCTTCCTTTGGATTCTTGGTAAGTACATTAAATTGGGGGACACTTTGGTAGGGAAGTATCTGACCATGTTCACTATTAGAAAGTCAGGTGCTAGGATGGAGATTGTGTAACTGTCTCTGCTTTGCTCTTTCCATAGACTGAATGTTTGTGTCCCCCCGACCCCCAAATTCATATGTTGAAAGCTAGCCCCTGATGTGATGGTATTAAGAGGTGGGGATCTTTGGGAGATGGTTCGTGCATGAAGGTGGAGCACTCATGAATGGGATTAGTGCCCTTATAAAGAGACACCACAGGACTCCCTCACCCCTTCCTCCAAGTGGCATTATCATCAAAACAAAGCCATCTGTGAATCAGAAAGCAAGACTCACCAGACACAGAATCTGCTACACCTTGACCTTGGACTTCCAGCCTCTAGAACAGTGAGGATTAAGTCTCTGTTGTTTATAAGCTGCCTAATCTGTGATACTGTTGCAGCAGCCTGAGCAGACCGGGACAGCAGTGTACCATGAGCAAGTCACTGAGTGCTCCTAGATCTCAGCTTCCTCAACCCGCCCAGCTTCCTGCGTGGCCATTGACAATGAGAGCTTCCCTCAGCTTAAAAATGAGGGAAATCTTTCAATAGATATTTCACAAAAGAAGATATTAAGGTGGCCATTAAACACAGGCAAAGGATTCGACATCATGAGGGGTTAGGGAGATGTGAAATGAGATTCCAGTTCACACCAACTAGCATGGCTGAAAGTAAAAGGACTTTCAGTATCATGTTTGGGAAGCATGTGCAGCAACTGCAGCTGACATTGCTGAAAGGAATGTAAATGGGTACAGTTCCTTAGAAGACTGTTAATACCTGCCAAAGCTAAGCAGACATACAAGCTGGGACCCAGTGCTTTCAGTACCAGATAAACACTCATAAGAAATGAGTCCATCAAACACATGTGCAAGAATATTCCTTGTAGTTTTACTCATAATAGACCAGAACTCAAAACATGTCTGTCAACGGTTGGAAGGAAGGAAGAAACAAACTGTGGGATAGTTATTCAATAGAATACACAACAATGTGAAAAAAAAAACCTATCAATACACAACAGTGTGGATGATCTCACAGATGTAAAATGTGGAGAGGAAGAATTCAGTCTCAGAAGAGTGCCCACAGTACGATTATGTTTGAATGAGGCTTAAAAACAGGCCAAAGTAATCCTTGAGAATAGAAATCAGATCACTCTCGGTGGGGGCTGATAGGGAGACTTCTGGGGTGCTGGTTACACGGCTGTGTCCAAGTGCAAAAATTCATCGCCTGTAACTTTAAGACTTCCGTACTTTAATCAATGCAACCATCGAAGCAAACAATCAATACACAACCTGTAATAGGAATAGAAGAGAGTTTTATTCAAGCCAAACTGAGGACTGTAGCCTGGGAGACAGATTCAGGGAGCACTTGAATTGTGTTCCACCTGACTAGCTTCATCCCTGTAGCTCTCAGGGGCCATAGAACAACTTCTGCAAAATGGAACTATTGGGATAAGACAGTGTAAAGCCCTCCCCGACGTAGGCTGTAATCCTGGCTCTGGCACCCATTTGCTGCAGGATCATCAACGTCTCCCTTAACCGCTCTGAGCCTGTTTCCTCATCTAGGAAGGACTAAGGCTGAATGTGTGACACCTTGTAGGAAGTTCTCTTCTCAACCTATATAAGATTCTTTAGTGAAGGACGCTGTCCGTGGTTGAATTTCTCCTGATTGTCCCTAACCTGCTGCTCCCAGGTTGTCGAGAAGCGCGGAGGCGTTTCAATATTTTGGTCTCTGTCGCCCCCAGGAGGCTCAGGAGAGTTCTTGGATGCAGTAGCTGTCCGATGCATTTAACGTTTGTTGCCTCTAAGGTAGAGGAAGTCAGGGACTACCTTTGGTTGGCTCATGCTTTTGTCTCCAGAAGCTGGCATGTAGGAGACACTTAACAAATGTTTGGTGACCGAATGACTGTGATACAGATCAGCAGAACAAAAGGCTCTTGACACCTTCCTTTGAAGGTGTGTGTTTCCAGCCAGAAGGCTTTCACGTGGACCTGGTCCCCCTCCTTGCTGGTCGCAGTGCCATGGCCCCCTTAGGGCTCCAAGAAGGTCTAGTCTCTTTGCCTCCTGCGTCCTGGGGATCAGACTCCTGGGAGGCAGCTTTGGAAAGGGATGGTGGGGAGGTCGTGGAATAGGTTGAATGCAGACTCTCAGAGGTGAGAGACTTCCAGGGAGATGGGAACACTTAATTGGTGTCGCAGGACAAGCATGAAAGGAAGAGGTCTTGGAGTTGGGGAGGAAAAAAACTCGAGGAGTACGGGGAGGTCTGAGAACAGAGGAGGGTTACTCCGATGAAGAGGAATGGAGATGCAAGGAAAGGAACCCCCCATCCCAACACACACACAGATTCTAGGGGCCTGTAAGCAGACCCTCAGCGCACATCTTACGGGCTGGTTGATGGATGCAAGAGGCCTGTGCAAATTCAGGGAGCGTGGAGAAGTGGTAAAATTAGAAAGTCTAGGGTTTGGGCACATAGAAGACCATGAAAAGCCCCCCAGTCCCTTGGAGAGATGAGGCTGGGGTGGAGGGGTTTAAGGAGTGTGTGTGTGGGGGGGTTGTTGGGTGACACAAGTAAGCAAAGATTGGGGGATGCAGACAAGTCCTCTGGTCACCTCAAACCCTAGTTTATGTCTTTGCACCTTCAGTCAATGTAATTTTCCCTTCCTTTAGCTGCTCCTCTGGATTCAAAGATGACTATGACTTAATTGTTATTGTGGGTGGATTCTCCTACCTTTAGCCTCACTCAGGAGGCAGGGACCCTGGGTTTTAACTGCACAGCGTGGCCTCAATAACCCCTTTGTAAACTAGGAATTGATTCTCTCCTCCCTGTTAGCAGCCAGATGGTAGTGATTTGGCAAATCTGCTAAGACATCTATCAGCTTGTCTTGTTCTTTTTTGCCTCTAACTCTCAGTTTTAAAACTGGGAAAGTCTGGAATGCATCTCAAACGAGGATGAGTTGGTCACCGATTTTGTCCTCAACTGTGCCCCCCAAACTCAAGTAGTCACTTGTTGATTACCGTGGGGTGCTCTGCACACATCCTACTGTGGTTGGAGGAAGCAGTTCAGGACTGTGCAGATGGGTGGGCCAGCTTCCACCCGGCTTCCGCCCTTTGTGCTTACAAACCTGTAAAAACCTGCACTCCTCAGGCAGCATCGTGTCTTGCACTCGGAACTCCGGCCCTAAGTGTGTGGCCTCTGCGGGAAGACATTCAAGTGCTCCAGGAGTTCAGATGTATACCAGACCCGGATTTCACTTCCCTCCACCACTGCAGCCCTGTGGAGGCGCTAGCATCATACTAGCCAGCTCTGACTAGCTGTGTGACCCAGGGCCAGTGACTACCCCTCTCTGTTCTTGGTTTTACCACCTACACGGAGAATGATACTTGACTCTGTTTTCTTCCTAGGTAACACGGTAAGTCACAAGGCTGGGGTTTCCTCAGCAGTCCCAGAGGCTGAATAATTCTGGCCATTTGCTGTGTAGCAACAGACAAGTCACTAGCCCTTTCTAGTTTCCGTTCCTATTTGTAGATAGACTTTATATTTTCTTTCCTATTGAAAGAAGTCTTATTGTAGAACCATTGGTTCCTTCTCCAGCCCAGAAGGATAAAGTGACCTTTTAAAAGTCACGGCTTTTCGGATAAAAATCCAACCCTTTTGTCTCCCATCCCTGTGCATCTACCACGTCGTCAAATAGTGGTTTTATATTACACCCCCGTCCCTCCACCGCCCGGTTGCAGAGAAGTGAGGCGGGCAGACACGCGGAACCCTTGTTCGGAGGTGTTTGTTTCCCGCCGGGGCGGATTTCGAGGGACCCCGTCCGGCCGCGATGGCGGCGGAAGCCGGGCTTCAGGGTCTCGGAGTCCATCTCCACCTCGCGCTGGACACCCTGCGGCCGCC